ACCCCAGGCCCCTGCGGCTTACAATGCCTACGTAGATGGCGGGGAGGCCTGATGAGCCTTCTCCCGCTGCCAGGAGGCAGGCTGGCTCCGGGGACACAGGCCGGAGACTCTGCCTGCTCCGTCTGCCATGAAAGAACTAACCCACGGCAGGGTTCAAAAGGGAAAGAGGAAAACCTGGTAACTCGTCCCAGACGGCCTGTCCGGTCCAGGGAGCAGGGTTCCCGCCAGGAGAGGCCGCAGCCTCATTAGGGAACGCGGGGAAGCACGAAACAGCCAGGCTGCCGTGCACATCCCTGGGACAATTAGGCCTGGGCCCCGGCCATCAAAGGCGACCCCGCGGGCTGTGCGTGCCGCCGCCACTGCTCCATGGATCTTTCCTCCTCCATTCGCCCTGTCAACTCTTAGCACCCAGCCCCTCCCTGGTACCTCCATAAGGACCCATCCCTGGCCCACGGGCTACCCACAGCTGTCCCGGCCCGGACACCACTCCCCGTCGTGTCCTGGAAGAGGCAGTCTCGTTCCCCCCACTCCTCCTCCCGAGCGTGGGTCCTCCCGTCCCGTGCAGAATGCAGACTATGCGGCCACAGCACGCTCCAGGCTCTGGTTTCCGGATGCCTCCCTTTTGCGAGAGCAGGGTCTGAGACGAGATCTTTCTCCAAATCCTGCCTCGCGGCCTCTCCCCAACCCCTCCCCACCCCTACGGAATTTCTTAGCCATGTCAGGAGTTCTCAGCAAAGACAGTAACATTCCTCCCTACCCCCCACCTCCACGCCGGCCAGGTCCACGCTCCGGAGGCGGCCCACCATCCCGAGACACATCCCCAGATGGGCACAGCCCGGGCCTGCCCAAGCCGCCACCACGCCCCAGCGCCCGGCACCGGCACATGGGAGACGCAGGCCGACACCAGGCGATGTTGCTGCAAGCGAGAGGCAAGTGCCACGGAGCCGTTTTTGCCGTCACACCAGAGGAAGCGGGCGCAATATTTGTGAAATTGGAAACAGCCTTTGGTCTCTGCCCGTGCTGATGGTACTCAGGTATTAATCCATTAAGGCAATCAAAAGAGCTTAAATAAAAGTCTGAAGTCCGCAATATACATGTCAATGAACAAGCGGTAAAACTTCCTGAGAAGGTGATTTCAAAGCCATATTGCCCACGCTTGGCAAATTGCATATTTAATTATTTTGTCAGTCGCTCTTTCCCCTCTAATCTTGGGGGAACATGCCTCGGGCCATATGAAACCAGTTAGGATAATTAAGGGACGGTGGAATTAGGTGCCGGCTGATTTCTCCGAAGGATGCCATCTTCCAGGCTGGTATGAGTTGTGTGCAGCCCCAGAGGCCGACAGCATTGCAATGTCTGCCTTCCCCCAGAAAGATCAAAGGTCTTTTGCCCCTTTCAAGATGTTTGTAGAATTTGTTTCCCAATTATCCCACATTTGCGCACTGGGACATCCGAGTTAACTCTTTGCTGGCACCCCTGGAATCCAGCAGTAATGGCCACCGAGCCGGGCTCCCCATCAGGGCGCACGCACAGGACAGGCAGGCAAGGGATGGCACAGAAAGGGGTGCAGGCGCAGGCTGGAGGCCCCGCTCTGCACTCCGACGCCACCGCGCCCCAGCGGACGTGGCCGGCAGGGTCCCCTCCTCGGCTGGGACCCCGGCGTGACTCGGGGCCGAGACTCCGTCTTTGGGAAGTTTGCCATCTTAAGAGCAGACCCCGACTGAACGGAAATACACCGAATACAGGATTTTCTCACTCTGGATTTTTTTTTTAATGTCAAACATTTTGGGGGCAAAGCGAGAAAAAGCAGTCAGGATTTGAAGTTCTGCTTCTGGCATTTTGAAACGAAATGTGATGAGAGCAGCGGGCCAAGGCAGAAAGTCAAACGCCAGAATGGTCAAGAAAACCTGATCTGAAGACTTTTTCTAGCGAGCGCTTCAGTTCCTTTTCTTGTTCTTGTTTGTGGTCTGTGGCTCTTTCTGGACTCTGCAAATACTTTTTCCCGATTCTTTAGCTCAAACTGTCAGCCTTGCCTACCTTGGTCTTGACTTCAGACAGCAACAGAGAAAAAGAAAAGCTTTCTGTGTCTCTTCGTGTGCAAATACAGTGGCCCTTTTGGAAAACCTTTTAGGAAAAACCCTCAACAATTTGAAAAACAAAATATCCATTGATCCGAAGAACCGTATTTCCAGGGCGGCCCGGGCACCGTCTTCTCTTTCCATCTCGACCCTCGGACACCCACCTGTGTCCTGGCAAGCTCTGAGCTGGAGAGGCCGCCCCAGGAAAAGGTCCTCCAAGTCGGCTCCTTCCACAGGAGCGGCTCAGAGAGGCACCAGCCGGCCGGCCTCACCTCTCCCCACCCACAGCAAACGCAAAAACGCCTCCCCCCAGGGAAGCAGCTCCCCACCCCTCCCCAAGATGCACATCCAGAGAGCGGGACGCAGGGCTGCGTATTCCGCCCGCCGGAGCAGCAGTGCGGCCACCAGCTCAGGGCGATGGCTCGCACGGGGTCTGCACAGCCACAGAAGCGGCGGGGAAGGTCTCCCGGTGACAGGACGGGGGCACAGGCCACGGGCAGGGTGGCCAGAGTTAGCAAAGAAATGCACAAAGAAACATCCCGCCCTTTTCGAATTTCAGATAAACAAGGAATAATTTTAGTATAAATATGTCCCAAAGATTGCATGGGACACATTTACACCAGAAACTTAACTTCTTGTTGACCTGAAATTCGGGTTGACGGGGGGCCTCTTAGATCTTCCCTCGCAGCCCTAGCCTCGAGTTCCCAGGGAGGCCGAGCGGGGACACCTCCGTGTTCTCCCCGAAGCAGCAAAACTGAGTGGAGCGAGACAACAGTGCTTCATGCTGGGCTGGGCGCGCAGCCTGGCCACTCTTGGAGGACCCAGCCCCTCCTCTCTGCACCCTGGCCAGCCCCGAGCCTCCAGGATCAGGGATTCCGTCCTGGCTCAAGAAGGGGCAAACCCAGGCTCTGAGCGCAAGGAAACAGCAGGCAGGGGCACGCCATGGCAGAGACACAGACGCCCCGAAACTTCCCCTGGGGTTGTTTCGAACGCCGAGCTAGGCCTCACAGGGACCCGAGCCTTCTGAACCAGCCGCCGCTTGGATGCCCTGGGGGGGCGGGGGCACCATGACTCCCCAGGAGCTCTGGCTACAGGCCCTGACTGTGGCCTGGCTGTCCCCGACCAGCTATGGGGCCAGACCTCTCGGTGGCCGCACTGAGCTTGGCGAACCGGCTTCGGGGGCTCCCTGGCGAGGCCCTGCGGGGCGGGTGAGGGTGTGCAGGGGCTCAGACCTTGTCCCCCGTACCGGGCTCCCTCCAGCCCCTGAACCCGGGTAGAGCTGCCCTCCCGCTTCTTACAGCTCCTCAGAGGGGGCTCCCCGGCTCTCCCAGCCAGTCCCTCCTCGATCCCTCCTGACTCCTTCCTGCTGTGGAGCAGCCTTTGGTCCTGCTGGGCCTCCAGGGAGACAGAACAGCTGGCCAGCATCTGGCACTGTGCATTAGCCAAGGCCCCTGCCCTTGGGCCTTCCGCTCCCCGGGCGGAATAATCCTGCTTCCTCTAACCTCTGGGCTGGGCCCCGGCTCCGGGCTTTCATCATCGTCCACCGCGCCTCTGAAGCCACTCCAGGCTCCCTGGCCCTCCGCTGGCTTCTGCTGGGCCGGGCCAGGCCAGGCTGACCAGCAAGGGCAGGGGGCGCAGAAGGTGAATGACCCCAGCTCCCCCCCGCCACCCTGGGCCTGGAGGAGTGGGGGTGGGGCAGCCGAGTCTGTAAGGAGGCAGCCGTCAAGGCTGTGCCAGGTCTCCCCACCGCCACAGGGAAGCGGGAACCCCATGCACCCCGTCCCTCGGAGGCTTGCTTGGGAAGACACCGCGGGGCGACACAGCCAGAGCCCTCGGTGTCAGTCCCAGGCCGTCCTCAGCTCTTCCTCTCCTGCTGGGCCACCTCCAGCCAACCACCCTGCCGCTGAGACCACAGCTTCCTCGCCTTCGAGGGCTGGTTAGGAAGGTTCCAGAGACAAGGCCCTTGCGGCCACTGGTGCTGTGCTCAGCTGCCCAATTGCCGCACCGTAGCTTAGCCTCCCAGCTCAGCCAGTGCACAGCCCGGCGGCTGTGCTGCCCGGGCTCGGCTCTGCCCGGGAGTTCTGGGTTATGGGCCGGGGCGGGGGGGGGGGGTCCTGCTGCAGCCCCTCTGGCTGGGAAGGAGGGGCCCAGTTTGCTTTTCCTCCTTGGTGCTTCCAAAATCCATTCAGGGATCTTTCTGGAAGCTTCCGTGGCCCCAGTGTGGTCTGAACGCAGTGGCCTCCTCCCTAGCACGGTCTCTGCCAGGGCATGCAGTTCATGCCCCACAGCTGGCCCAGGCCCCTGGCTGAGAAAGCCAGGGCCTGAACCGTCCTGGCTCGGCACTCCCAGAGCTGAGCAAAACCACACTCCCAGAGACTGCAGGCACCATGCCGACCGCACGGCGGAGACGACCCAGATACGCCCGTGGGCTGTGTCCAGCGACAGCACAAGCCCAGAGGCACCTGGTCCTGGTCCCGGGGACGCCGCCATGTTGGCCCCTACTACTGACCTGAGCCCAGGCCACACACCCCTCCCACGCCTGCTGGGCCACACATTTGGCGCTCAAAGCCTGGAAGGCTCCAGACAACAGAGCCCGAATTCAATGCAGACTTGCAACTCCTCCTGTAGGGATCCATCCTCTAGCAACCGAGTCACTAACGGATTTTTCTCACAATTGCCTGCGACATCCCCAGCCCCGCCTGGAAGACATGCAAAAGGCAAAGAAACGCTTCAACCCGCTTGGGAGGAAAATGCAAAGCCAGATTCGTCAACGTTCACATCGCCATGGCGGATGGAAGCCGAGACAGGCCGGGGAGAACGCCGCCCACCTCTGCTGCCCAGGGGTGCGGCTTCCGGGGAGGGCCGCCCCGCTCGCCCAGGCGCCCAGCGTGGGTCGCGGAGGATGGAGCCGTGGGCACTTACCTGCCGGCATCCCGAGGGGCAGGCCGGGCAGCCAGCCGCGCCAGGGCCGGGCCAGGGAAGCTGGAGGCCCTGTGTGGACAGGTGCACGGCCCATCTCTGCGAGGCGCTACCTGCGGTTTACTGGCCGGTTTATTAGAAGCCCACGTAATATTGCAAAGCACCTGCAGGCAATAAAAGCCCTTACATGTGTGAGGCCTTGAGGAAATTAGCGGCTCCTCCCCGGGGGCTACATATTTTGTGAAGATGTTTATTACAGATGAAGCGCTCCTGGGGTAGGACGTTAACAGGTTGTAGAGTGATAAAAGGATTTGTATCCTTTCTCGGGGACCTGGAGAAGGATAGAGGTTTTTCTCCGGATCCTTAAGGGCCCCCCTTCCTAAGGATTTTTCTTAAGGTTTTTATTAAAAGCCCCTGGCGGGGGGGGTGGGTAGTCAAATTTCTCCCCAGACCCTCGGGACGAGGCTGGTGGGGGGGGGGGGTTGGATGGAGCGGAACGCGGGGCGCACAGAGGGCCTGGAAACGGGATGAGAGCGCAGGAGAGGGGCTGAGCACGAGGGACGCAGGCCCCTGGGGGCGACGGCGGGGGCGGGGGGGGGGGACAGGCTGAAAGGCAGCTCCCAAGCCCCTCGTTTTAACCCCCTGCCCCCCGCTCCGGCCTGCAGGCCATTACCGAGATGAAAGCCCAGGGGAGCCTGTGGCGCGCGGCCTTGGACTCTGATTGAATTATATGAACGCAGTTAACCGTCTGCTTCGGCACGGCCGCGCCGCGCGCAGACTGCGTGCGCCGGCGCTTAATGGGCTGCTCCAACAATAGAGGCCGCGCCGAACACAGGTGGGCTGTGTTAATAACTTTATTTAGGCCCGCGTTTTTCCCTCCCTTTGAGGTGCACAAGCCTTCCATTAATGCATTCATTAGGGTTTACGGCCGGGCTCTGCTTTTCTCCTAATGACACTGTCCAGACCCGGCTCCCCGGCTAATTGAGGCCAGCTGCCCGGCCGCCCCACCCCGGCTTCAGGTCCCCGTGTCACCAGGCTTGGCGGCTAGGGCCGCTGGGGGAGGGAGTAGCTGAGAGAGAGGAGGGCTCACAGAGGCTGGGACTTTGGACACCCCAAGCTCCACCCAGGCCGGGTGAAGGAGCCCCCTGCTGATGGCCGCTGCCACCACCAGGGCCGCCCGCATCCCTCCTGGCCCTAGGGGTCTCCGCAGCCACGTGGAGGTTGCACGGGGCCTGCGGGATCTCGCCACGCGCTGCTGAGCAGTCTGCTGTGGCTCCCGCTGCCCCCAGGGAGAACGTGCGCACGGTGCTGCCTGCCAGCCACCTCGGCCCCAGGCTCCCAGTGCTCCAGGTGCTCCTAGGCCTCTCTCTGCTTGTTGGGGAGCACCTGTGGGAATGCCTCGGCCTCGCCCCTGCGGATCCACCTCCCCCCCACCTGCCAGGCCCTCCTCAGGAAGCCCTGGGTTTCGCCTGGCCTGGAATCCCGGTGAATGTCCAACGTGTTTATCCCGGTCACCCGCCCCCCCTTCCACCAGACCCGAGTACCTTAGGGTGAGGATGCGTGAGAGCAGGGGTGGGCTTGGGCACAGCCGTGAGGCTGCCCTTTGGGGCACCCACACAGCCCACATCATAGCACCTGCTTCCACTCCAGTGTCTTGCTGAAGTGCACCCTGGGAGGCCACAGGTGATAGCCAGGTGCCTTGGTCTCTACCACCCAGGAGGGAGACCCGGATGGAGTTCCTGACTCCTGGCTTCAGTGTGGCCCAGCCCTGGCTGTCGTGGGCAGGTGGGGAGTGAATCAGCCCATGGAAGATCTGTCTGTCTCTGTCTTCCTTTTAAATAAAATGAAAGAAAAAAAAAAACACTTTAAGATAGAAACAAGAACACACTCGTGGTTTGGTCCGTGCTCATCAAACATTCACTATTTGCCAGTTGCTTGACAAGAGTTAACTCCTTAAGTCTCCACAGCACTGAAGTGCTGTGCCCACTTCACAGATGAGAAAGTTGAGGTTCATGCGCAGGAAGTGAGGTCCCCCATCCCTGACCACAGCAGCTGCATCTGGGGATCAGGCAGGGCTGTGCCGGGCTTGGTTCACACCAGCCTGCGGGAGCTGCATGTTAAATTTTCAGGAGTGAGCCGGTGCCGCGGCTCACTAGGCTAATCCTCCACCTTGCGGTGCCGGCACACCGGGTTCTAGTCCAGGTCGGGGCGCCGGATTCTGTCCCGGTTGCCCCTCTTCCAGGCCAGCTCTCTGCTGTGGCCAGGGAGTGCAGTGGAGGATGGCCCAAGTGCTTGGGCCCTGCACCCCATGGGAGACCAGGAGAAGCACCTGGCTCCTGCCATCGGATCAGTGTGGTGCGCTGGCCGTGGTGGCCATTGGAGGATGAACCAACGGCAAAGGAAGACCTTTCTCTCTGTCTCTCTCTCTCACTGTCCACTCTGCCTGTCAAAAAAATAAATAAAAATAAAAAAAATTTGAGGAGTGAATTCCGTGCACTGGTTCTGAAAAAATGTACATAATGGGGCAGGCGTTTGGCTTAGCAGTTCCGATGCCGGCATCCCACATCGGAGTCCCTGCGCGCCAGGCCTGGCTCTGCTCCGGACTTGTTTTCCGGGCATGTGGGTCCTGGGAGGCAGCAAGGATGGATCAAGTGACCGGGGGGGGGGGGGGGTCCCTGCCACCCAGGTGGGAGACCTGGAGTGCGTTCCTAGCACCTGGCTTCAGCCCCAGCCGGGGACTGACTGTTGGGGAGTGAACCAGCGGATGGAAGACCTTTCTCTCTGTCTTTCCCTCTCTGTGTCTGTAACTCTGCCTCTCAAGTAAATAAAACACTTTTTAAAAATAAATGATATAGGGCTGGCACCACGGCTCACTTGGCTAATCCCCTGCCTGCGGTGCCAGCACCCCAGGGTCTAGTGCCGGTCAGGGCGGCGGATTCTGTCCCAGATGCTCCTCTTCCAGTCCAGCTCTCTGCTGTGGCCCGGGAAGGCAGTGGAGGATGGCCCAAGTGCTTGGGCCCTGCACCCACATGGGAGACCAGGAGGAAGCACCTGGCTCCTGGCTTCAGATCGGCTCAGTGTGCCAGCCACAGCACGCCAGCTGTAGCGGCCACTTAGGGGATGAACCAACAGAAAAAGGAAGACCTCTCTCTCTCTCTCTCTCTCTAACTCTGCCTGTCAAAAAAAAAAATTTTTTTTAAATGATACAAGCTTACAGTGAGTCAATGATATTCGAATCAAAGGTAACAAGCCCTCCATATTCATCCGTTCCTGCCGGCCTTGGCCTTTTGCTACCAGTGATGCCACTGGGACGAGGTCCACTGCGTCCTCGCGCTGGGGACCCCGAGGACAGCAGCCATGCCACAGCTCCTCCTACCCCACAGCCAGGAACGTCGTGGAGTGTTCACACCACAGCCCGGGCTTCTGCTCCCACGGCCGGCACTCGGAGCCAGGACGTCTGCCTTGAGCCCCGAGCACGTGCCCTGGGCAGACCAAGCGCACGAGGGAAGGTGGCTTGAGTGAAACCTGAGCAGGGAGGACAACAGCACTGCCCGAGACGCCCGCTGCCCAAGCCCCAGAACCTCCCTCCCGGCCGGCCCCAGCCCCAGCCCCAGCGCCACCTGGCTGAGGGTGCTAGCACCTGCACGAGGATTCCCAGGGCCCCTGAGACATGTCCCAGATACACCCCCCCCCCCCAGGCCCTGCCGGGTCAGCTGGGCCAGCACTGTGTTCCCCTCCCTGCCTCCCGCCCCACCCCGAGGCCTCCTCCACTGCTTCCTGTCTGGTTGTCAGTCTCCCTCGCTCCAGCCCATCTTCTTCCCGACAGGCAGCGTGACCATCCCCGCACAGAAAATGGACCTTGTTACCCCTTGCAGGAGAAAGTCCAAGGTCATCCTCCACCATTCAGTGACCTGTCCTGCTGCTGCTGCTGGCCGTGGTGCCCAGCATCATGGCCTGCCCCTTTGGCAGGTGCGCTCTGCCCCAGCAGCACCAAGCCGCTTCTATTTATTGCACATCTGTTTCCGGATGTGTCCTGGGGCTGAAAGAGTGCACAAGGCAAAATCTTTGTTCTTCTGAAGCTTCCATTCTAGTAGGGAAAAAAAGTTAAAAGTTTAAAACTCACGGTAGGAGCGAGTGTCATAGCAGGCAGCGGCCATTTGGGGAGTGCACCAGTGGATAGGAGACCTTTCTGTCTCTCCCTCTCTCTCTCTCTCTGTAACTACCTCTCAGATAAATAAATATTTTTCAAAATGTTTATTTATTTGAAAGGTAGAGTTACAGAGAGAGGTAGAGACAGAGACCAAGAGGTCTTCCATCCTCTGGTTCACTCCCCAGATGGCCACGAAGACTGGGATTGGGCCAAGTTGAAGCCAGGAGCCTGGAGTTTCTTCCAGGTCTCCCACATGGGTGCAGGGGCCCAAGCACTGGGCCATCCTCTGCTGCCTTCCCAAGGCCATAGAGGGAGCTGGACCGGAAGAGGAGTAGCCAGGACATGAACCCACACCCATATGGGATGCCGGCACTGCAGGCTGGGGCTTTAACCCATTGAGCCACAGCACTGGCCCCAAATAAATAAATCTTTTGAGAGAGAGAGAGAGAACTGGGGACACAGACTTCAACCCTACTGTACCTTAAATATGTTGAAGAGTTTGCGCTTTATCCTATGGCCCATGAGCGCCTACTGAAAGCATATGACACAGCCAAACTGCAGTTTAAGAAGATGACCCTAAAATGGCACCAGGCCCAGACAGCTTTATGAGTGCTTTTTTTTAGAAAGGTCTTCCTTTTGCCGTTGGTTCACCCTCCAATGGCTGCTGCGGCCAGCGTACTGCGGCCGGTGTACCGCTGATCCGAAGGCAGGAGCCAGGTGCTTCTCCTGGTCTCCCATGGGGTGCAGGGCCCAAGCACTTGGGCCATCCTCCATTGCACTCCCTGGCCACAGCAGAGAGCTGGCCTGGAAGAGGGGCAACCGGGACAGAATCCAGCTCCCCGACTGGGACTAGAACCCGGTGTGCCAGCGCTGCAAGGTGGAGGATTACCCTAGTGAGCCGCGGCACCGGCTTATGAGTGCTCTTAAAAAATGGATACTCATTGGCCGGCGCCACAGCTCACTAGGCTAATCCTCTGCTTGTGGCGCCGGCACACTGGGTTCTAGTCCT